TGATGCAGCAATACAGGAAGTGAGGAAGAAGACTAAAATAAGCCCGGGCAGTTTCATAGAGAATGATGCATAACAAGTTAAGAAGTTTGAGGTTTACTACAAAAGCATTGGGAGAGCATTAGAGAATTTAATCAGGTAAGTGACGAGCTCAGATTTGTATTTTAGAGAGATTATTTTGATGGAGTGTAGAAAGTTAATTGGGCTGATGGGGCAGGCAAGACTGGAGGGGTAGAATTACCCAGATATTTAATTTGCATAAGCATTCCTTATTAATTTCAGAAATATCTCTAGTTTGCCCTACCATAAACTGGTTCTTACTGGACCATTTGGGTCACTATGCATGTTACAGAAAACTAAAGGTGTTACTTTTTCTTTTTTTCCAATTTCTTTTCTCAAAATGTGTGCTGACAAAGAGGAATTCTTGACTAGATCAAGCATGGATGGTTATGTAATCTGTCTTCTAGATACCATGGAAAGCCTAGGAAGAGATTCAAATAATTTTTTTAAGATTGTTTAAACCTGTACATTAGTGTGCTATATACAAGAACCAATTGCTGTCATGAGACAGGTTCCATTAGTATGGGAAGGAACTTTTCATAGAGGAAACATTTAAGGATAGATAATACTTAAACTCAGAAATATGGTAAAGTCCTATTTAGGCAGTGACCACTACAGTAGCTAGGCCCTGAGGAACATATCCTGTAGATAATACATGGCTAAATTATGTTGGAAGTGAACTATTTACAATGGTAAGTTCCATGAGAGATGAACTGATACCTGTAGGCCTGTATCCTGTAGAAAGTTTACACCAGGGATGTAAAAATCAGAACTTGGTTTTGAAAATCTTAATCTGACAATATTCTGATTAAAGTCATTTCTAAAGGAAAAGAGACTGAGAGACAACAGAAAGCTACTGCAATAGCCCAAGCTCGAGAGAATATGCATCAGAAATAGGGGAGGATTAATGGGAATAGAAATGGGAGGGTGAAATTTGTCAGAGCAATAGTAAATGTTACAACTGATGAGATATCAAACATGTGATATCACTCTACATCAGCGGTTCTCAACCTCCCTAATGCCACAACTCTTTAATACAGTTCCTCATGTTGTGGTGACCCCCCCAACCATAAAATTATTTTCGTTGCTATTTCTTTTTTTTTTTAAAGAAATAACTTGTACTGTAACAGAATTTAAATCTTCCCTTTGCAAAAATAAAATTAAATATAAAAAATACAATAACAACAGACTAAGGATATTTATAAATCACACACCAAAAGGCTTACAATCAGAATATGTATGTATATATATGTACATATACATGTACTTACTATGTTTGAAATGAACTTGTAAGTCATTAAAGACCCAAGTCCACTTCAGTTTTACTTTTCCTCCTATGTTAGCCACTCAGACCAATATTTAGATCTGAGCGACAAGGAATTTGGAGGCCTCGTTGCTATTTCATAACTGTAATTTTGCTACTGCTATTAATCGGGCGACCGACCCCTGTGAAAGGGCTGTTCAACCCCCAAAGGGGTTGCAACCCACAGATTGAGAACCACTGCTCTAGATGATTTAAAGGATGGTGATTCCATTTGAGGAGGCAGTAGATTTGGCAAGGAAATGGCATCAAAATTTTTTTTGCTATAGCACCTTTATCTTCTGTGCTCCCTTTCTGAGGGTATCAAGCACGGCCATGATGTAAGAATGAGTATTTCTTAAGGTGGAGCTAGGATTTAGCCTGAGCCCAAAAGCCATTCCGTGATATAGTTTTGTTTTGTTTTTCTGTTCTTTTAATTTATTATTACTTGGGAGTTAATACGTACCTCATAGGTCATATCATTCCATAGTTCACTCTTGACAGCGGAATTGTATAATTACTTCCACAATTAGTCTTCAAACATTCTTTTTCTTCCTGAATTCCTTGACATCATCTCCCTTTTACCCCCATGACCACCACCACCATGCCGCTATCCCGCCCTACCTCCCCCCCCCCATCCAGAAATCTTTATTCTACTTGCTCTCCTTATCAATGCATCAATCTGGGTTTCATTTACCAAAAAACAGAAAAACATTTAACACAATTTCAAGAGGATGACCCACAATGACACTGTCGATGTACCCTCAATAGACTGCCATGAACAATATGCTAACTATCCTCTCAGTATAACTAGTTAGGGATAGAAGAGTTGAACGTTTGACCTCCTACAGAGCCTACAAGCATGCTTGTTTACACAACGGTGCTTAGGCTAACTGGTTTTATGGCAAGAGTGTTCTTGGATGAGTGCTTTTTTTTTGTCTAAGATGTTTTGGTTGAACTAGATTAAGAATAAGGAACTATAGTATCAAAATTGCCAAATTTAAGTTTGGAAAGGTTTTGCATTTGGCATACATTTTTTCTTTTCCCAAAAAGATTCTGTCGCCATAATATTTTGTCAAGCATTTTAACATTTAAACCATAAAAAAGAAAAACATGTTTCAATATCAAGCTACCAAGTATAAGATTCTAAGATATTTTTAAAAAAAGGTTTTAAGATATTAACGATTTTAGGACATGACTGGTGGCTAAAAGGCTGTTTAAACTATTCTTTTAAAAACTCATAGTAAATGATGATGCTAAGCCCACAAAATCATCCAGATATTAATCAATGATCTTATATGTAAACATTAGATATTTGGGAACACATGGGTACTCTTTTGAAACCAAAGATTCACATAATGTATCTTGTAAAACAAGGTTACTTCTAAAGTTGTGGCTGAACTGTGGGAATATGTGACTCTGTATGGTAACACAGTCTAAGGATTATCTTAAAAAAATTTTTATTCTGATATTTCAAGGAAGAGAATCTGATTGGCTCAGCCTGTAGCTGCTCTCCCTTTTTCTCCCCCCTCCTCCACTCTTCAGTCAGCCAGGGTTTTAAACTCAACCCATTATCAATGAGTCAATGCTGACTCATAACAACCCTCCCTGTAAGATGGGAGAATTGCCCCTGTGGGTTTCCGAGACGGTAATTGTTCACCTCCTCTTCTCCCAAGGAGCAGCTGGTGACGGTAAGCAATACAGCACCAGAGGGTTGTCGTTGGTTCATATGATACCAACATGACAGCCTAGGCTCCCACTTCAACAGAGGGGGGCCCTTCCAAACCAGAAATTTAGGACTGGGTAGGCAACACAGTATTCCTGAATAAGATCGATTTGTATTACTTACTTCTGCTATTTTAAAAGCACTAGAAAGAAGAAGATGTTAACGATTGATAAGAGCTGTCTAATGGACACAGAAACACTCACTGCCACTAATTCAGACCTGATACATAAATACACTTACCAAGAATATTTGAGTTGTTATGTTCTTAGTTTGTGGTATCCAAATTTTTTACCTTTAAAATGTATCTTCAATGAAGAAAAATACTATCAAATAATGATGTGCTGAGGACAAAGTGATTATTGTTCATGAAAATTGCAGCTAAGACTATTGAGTCATTGTGAAGGTTTGAGAACTCGTGCTAAGGAAATCCAAGTGTGATCTTGTTGGTTAGCATTCAGCATTTCTTTAGTAAGAGAGACAGTCAAAGGCAGCATGCACCCTGCGTAGTGGGTGGTATGACCAAGCCCCCTCCCTGGGAACTACCGTGCACCTCTCTGCGCCAAGCCACCACAGATTTGAATGTGCCTGTGAACAGTATATGCTAGTGTTATTTTCGGTCTTATGTGTTATTTGGTAGGTTATTTTTGAGTCTTGGAATGCTAAAAATATGTTCCCATCTAAATTAATGGTAATTGCTTCTTCACTCTGTGCTGTTGTGGTACAAACAAGAGTCTAGGAACGCTTCACTCTGACATCAGCGGAAACCTGGACCTCTCTTTCAGAACAGTCTGTGTACTGTTCATTTAATGAAGAGTAATTTAATGAGTGATATTTTTAAAATGTGTTATTTTCTAAACCTTGTATATAAGGAGCTGCCTTTTATCTCCCCAGAAAGTTATACTCTCATTATTTTAATTGTATGTTTAAATTATTTTCTAGGGCATTTTTCCCTAACATGTCATGATACTAGTAATTATTTTAAGCTGATGAAAACACCCTTAGTCCTCTGCAGTGAACGCGGGCACATGGCAGCCCCCACGTGACCAGGGAGAACTGCTCCACACAATGTGCCTGGCTGTCATCTTCGTGGAAACAGATTGGCAGGCTTTTCGTCGTCTAGATTAGTAGTTGAGCACAAATTTCTTGCACCACGAAGGGAGCTTTTTATGCCAATACCAAAACCAAACTCGCTGCAAGCAAGTCAACTGGCAGTTAATTTACTAACCCTGGGTAGTGTAGTGGGTTATGTGTATGGCTGCTAACTAGAAGGTCAGCAGTTCTAAGCCAGCAGCTGCTCCCAAAGAGAAAGATGAGGTTTTCTTTTCTCATAAGTAGTTGCAGCCTCAGAAATCCAAAGGACAGTTCTATTCTATCCTATAGGGTTGCTAAGATGTCTCTAATTACTAAATCAAAAGTGGTAGTCAATAAGACAGCAGAATTCTAAAATGCAGTGAAATAAAATACACCCACCACCACCCCAGAAAAGAGAAAATTAAAAAACAAAAAATACCTAGAAATATCAGCTATGTTTACTCGAAAAATAAACATATACCAGAAATATTTCCTATCAATGTTAATAACCTCTAATAATTCTATGCAGAGTCCCACTTAATAGATATAGTTTTATAGCATCCAGTTAGACTTGAGAATATTCTCTTGCCTATATCACTTTCAAAGGTTTAAAACCATATTCATAGTAGTAATAAACTGAAAAGCATGCATGTCACAAAACCCATGTGACTACCTGATTCATTTTCACTTGTTTTCTTCCTTAAAGGTGCCTTTCTTCATTTAGCCAAAATACTCGTGTGCCTGAGCATGGACGATAGTAATACTGTCATCAGGGAACCAGTTACCTCTGTTTCTCTCCTGCACTCAAGTCTACACACAAATGTTTTCCTTAAGCTTCCCTCTCAGCTTCATCCGGGGCCACATTTCAGGCAGCATCAACATTCCATTCGGCACTGCATTCACGGCAGAAGGCGAGCTGACCCAAGCCCCCTGCACTACTATGCTCCAGAACTTCAAAGGGAAGGTTATTGTTATCGTGGGGCATGTATCAAAGCACATGGCTGAGGTAAGCGTGCTCCACATGTCATGCGCATTTGATGAGTTGTTTACCTGTCTACCCTCTAGGTTGTCTAATGATGTATTTCTTTAGTTCAGAAATGATAAATATCACCTGTCTATATGCTGATATAGAAAAGTTTGCCTGTCTTTTCCTCAGTACTATTCAATCATTTTCTCTTCCTTAGTTTAGCATCATGAACAACAGTAGATTTAGAGAATTCCGAAGGATAACCTGAGCATTTTTTGTGTGTATTCTAATTGCTTTTCTGAAATTGCAAAGAAATGACTGTAAAAACAGTGGGGCTTGAGGAGGCTCTAAAAACTGGTAATGATGGAATTTGTTGGATGTGATAGTTAAGGTTTTGTGTCACTTGCCTGAATCAGTGGTTTTTGGTTGCACGGGCTGGGGGTGAGGGGGAGGGGGTGTTGTTATTTGCTATACTTTCAAAGCTTCCTATGAGAGAGAGTTCAGGAAGGATTTCAACTTTCAGATATTCATGGACAACTTTTTAAAAATCAGCATAAATCCATTGCTCAATGTGTGGAGATTGGTTTTATCCTCACTCTCCCACTTGTCAATCATTCTGACACCGGCTGCCCACATGGCACCCAGCGCTGGGCAGATTTCACAGTTAGAGGCCGTTGTCCTTCAGACGGCCAAGTAGACAGACACCAGCCGTGAGTTGGAGAGTTAGCACGACATGTTCGCTTTTATTTGATGGCTTCCCCTTCTCGCTTGGACTGAATGCAAAGACTCACAGAATTAGCAGACAACCCTAGACTTACAATTACAGAGGTATCCCCGCAAAGGGACACAAATGAGTATCGTCATATGGAGGAAAAACACAGGCAAGGACTAAGAAGGTTCCCAATGTGAAGTTTGCACAATCCAACGCGGCCACATCATCTGCCTTTCCCCAGCCAGAAAGGCCTCAGAGCCTTCATGACCCAGGGTCTTGCTGGCCAGACCTGCGTGATAGGCTAGGTAATGCCTCCTGATGCTGATTGATATCAGCCTCCCAGGTAAGTCTTTTCTGATCTGATCATCCCCATGCAACAGCAAGTATGGCCTGGAAATCGCAGACTAAGGCATTCCACTTGTTCATGGAGTCTTTCTCCAGAACCAAGGACAAAGGCTACTTACTTTGGGTAAAGCTAAATGCTTTACCCCACAAGATATGTGCAGAGCATGTGAAAGAAAATCACTCCCCTCTGCCTTGGCTTTATTAGTTTTGAACACATTGAAAAATAAAACGAAGACTATCATGGCAATAAAAAATATTTATATTTTACAAAAACCAAGATGGAAGATATATTAGCTTAGTGTATGAGCCAAATTGGCTTGCTAACAGAGCTCCCCACACTAGGCTGAGATTCTGTCCAGATACAGCCCTAACTAAAGCAGGACAGGCGAAGGGGCTTGTGGATCTGCTCCTGCGAATGTAGCTGCAGTAACTTGCTCCTGGGGGTAGCGTGTTCTCATGAAGAACAGGTCTAGGCCTTTTCAAATTACCCAATTAAATAAATCACTCTACTCCTCATGAGCTCCTAACCACCAAGTCAGCAGTTTGAACCCTCTGTTTTCTGCAAGGGAGAAAGATGAGGCTTTCAGCTCCTGTAAAGATTTACAACCACAGAGACCTAGTAGATTTCTATTCTGTGCTATAAAATCACTATGGCAGTGGGTAAGTGGGACCTCCCAGGGCAGAGAGAATAAAGAAACAAAAATAAATGTCAGGCATATGCTTAGGAAAATTTTCTTGCATGGAAACCAGGAGTAGAGATAAAATATTCCCCTCTAATATGCATGTGCCCTTGTGTCATTATAGACTGAACAATCCAGACATGTGATCACTGAAAAGGTAGATGATAACTTTGTGGGTTTAAGTTGAAAGGATCTCAATTTAAAGTGTATTTACGAAACTCTATTATATTATCAGTGATTGTGCTAGCTTCTATATGCACACTGTTCCCCCTTGTATCCCCTCCCCAGGTCGGTTCTGTACCCTGCTCTACCCTGGAAGCGATTTCTGTCTCTTCTGAAATGGTTTCCAGTCATTCAGCCAAGTCACTTGTTAAGGGAGGGAAGGAGTTCACGATCTTGACCTCCCTGGCTTCTTCCCTGAAAGATGGTCTCCAATTGACTTTCCCTCTACTGATAATACTTCTCGTCAGGTTCCCTTCTCTACACTACTCTCTCTCTTTCTGTCCGTCTGTCTCTCTCTCTTTTTCCTATCATTGGTCCCATTGGTTGTAGGGATGGGAACAACTCTGCTAATCCCACGTAACTGAACTATTTCAATGGTTCTCTTACATCATTGTACCCACACTTTTATAAGTAATTTTTTTTAACATTTTATTAGGGGCTCATACAACTGTTATCCCAATCCATACACACATCAATTGTGTAAAGCGCATTTGTACATCGTTTCTCAAAACATTTTCTCTCCATTTAAACCCCCGACATTAGGTCCTCATTTTTCCCCTCCCTCCCCGCTCCCCCCTCCCGCATGAGCCCTTGATAGTTTATAAATGGGTATTTTGTCATATCTTGCCCTGTCCGACGTCTCCCTTCATCCACTTTTTGGTTGTCTGTCCCCCAGGGAGGAGGTCACACACAGTTCCATGTAATCGGTTCCCTCTTTCCTACCCATTCTCCCTTTACCCTCCCTGTTTCGCCACTCACACCACTGGTCCTATAGGGCTCATCCGTCCTGGATTCCCTGTATTTTCAGTTCCTATCTGTACCAGTGTACCTCCTCTGGTCTAGCCAGTCTTGCAAGATAGAATTCGAGTCATGGTAGTGGGAGCGGGGAGGAAACCCTTAGAAACTAGAGGAAGGTTGTATTTCTCATCATTATTACATCGCACCCTGACTGGCTCATCTCCTCCCCGAGACCCCTCTGCAAGGGGATCTCCAGTGGCCTACTAATGTGCTTTGGATCTCCACTCTGCACTCCCCCCATCATTCACTATGGTAAGATTTTTTGTTCTGATGATGCCTTACACCTGATCCCTTCGACACCTCGTGGTTGCATCGCCGGTGTGCTTCTTCTATGTGGGCTTTGTTGCTTCTGAGCTAGATGGCCGCTTGATTACCTTCAAGCCTTTAAGACCCCAGACACTATACTTTTTGATAGCCGGGCACCATCAGCTTTCTTCACCACATTTGCTTATGCACCCATTTGTCTTCAGTGATCTTTTTATAGGTTAATCCTCCCCACACCAGCACCACCACCCACCGCCCCTCAGTCCAGCTCCATTTATCTTAAAAGCATGGGAGCTATCCAGGGATAGTTTGGTTAGTTGCTCTCTCTGTTTCTTACCAGTTGTGTTAATTTGGACATGTTATTCAGCATCCCAAGTCACCGTTTCTTCACTTATAAAATGGGAATGAGTTTAATACCCCAGAGCATTATTGCAAAGACTTCAAATCAGGCATAAAGAGTTAGGTGCAGAGGCTGATACGAATGAGCAGCACACTAACCTCAGCATTGTTGTTTGCATGCATTTAAATTTAAAAACTAATCTTCAATAATGATCATATAAAAGTTATAGAATTTTAGGTGTTCGGGCTAAGCCAGTTCATTTGAGCCCTGCAATTTCCCATCAGGCAGTGGTGGGGAAGGTTTCCTAAGAGCTGTTTTAATCAGGTCTCTTCTTTCCGGGCTGTGTAAAAATTTCAAGTGATTTCCAAGCAAGTAGCAGCTTTTCTCCTAAATTGAAATCAGGACACTGCAGCTGGCAGCTGGCAGAGCCCCATTTTGAAAAGATTAAGGAAGCCATAATTGAATGCTGTGAAAAGAAAGCAGAGGTGCCAATTTCAGTCGGTACAGTTACAAATTACCATTGCAAATGTTTATGATCTTGATGCCGAATCCATATTTGAACTTTAGGATCTTTTTGTCTGCAAAACAGTAGGCACTGATTGTAATTTCTCTAGTTTCACATCCTCTGTAAAGTTACTTCTTTAAGAGCTAGTGTGAAAATTCAGCAAACAAAACTACTAAATGGAGTAACATATAACTCAATAAAATAAAGAGGCTTTCCACACTAAATTTAACAAGTAGCAAATATTATTGTATGATTCCAAGAATTAATAAATGAACCATTTGTTTAGAATTTGATATTATTAAAAGTATCCATATAATATACAAATTAGGACTGAATTCTCTTTTATAATACAAATATGGAGAAATTATGCTACAATGACTAGATATAGTGAATATATTGTCTCTAAAATCATATAGAGAAAGACAATAGATCTCAGGGTCTATTTTGCTTATTCATATGCCTGAATAACTATAATCAGAATATTAATGATGCCATTTTAATTACAGATTAATTAACCATTTACAATCATCATAATAGACTATCATTTTATTGCTCCGACATGCTTCCTTTGCATTTATTCTGTGCTAAGCTTTTTGCATTTAGCTTAGCTTAAGCACCTCAGAAGGCCTTCAGAATGTGTTAGTTCTTGTCTGGACGAGACACTGCTGTCCTCCAGAATAGGGCAAAGGCTGACTACGAAGATCTTTGTTTAATTAGGGTCTCACACAGAGGCTTCTCTGGACTGGGAATAAGGCCTGCTGAATGCCACTTGTCAATTCATCTGTAGTTCACCTTACCCTGAAGGTTAAAGAAAGCAGTGAGCTTTGGTCTAATCAAGCATATCCAGATATTCTGTGAACAAAGTTATACTGGCATTAAGGAAAGTCAAAATTAGATCTCCTTGTGTGATGGGAGCCTGAAACCTCTGCACTGTGAACCGCTGGCCCAAGGGTAGCACGAAACTGAGATTTTGTGTTGACCTTGTACTTACAGCTGAGTTTGCCAAGTCAAACAAAGGCATTCCACACTCAATGGTAAGATTTACAGGTGTAGGAGGGCCTTTGTATCAAAACAGTGCAAAGTGAATTCAGGCCTTAATTGTGTCACATTTTGAATGAACAGCATGGGAAGGTCTTACTCCTGTTCTCTTGCAGAGATAGTATTGTTAAAACT